CCGAGCATCTTTGAGCACCCTCAATCTTTCTCCTTGAGCGAAGATCAGGTAGTTGGTCTGATTTATCACTGCAAACAGTGCCCTGGTCGTGGCGTCTGCTCCGGCGGGAACGGGGACCTCATGGAACTGAATGAGTTGGTAGTTCTGGGGAGGTGGTTGTGATACGGTGGAAGAACCGAATGTTAATATTGGTTTGCATTTTTTGTTCGCAAATGTCGTGGTAAGCAAGAGTCGCCACCGACTTTTCTTTTATCCAACAAAGGAAAGGGTGAAAAGAACAGAAAAAGACCTTTCCGAGAGTTTTCTAAGTAAGGGGGGTAGATTATGGAAAGGGAAGGTGTTAGCACCCTTTCCATCCGTGGTTTTCCATGGGCTCTTAGAGGTTTTCTCATTTTGAAATACCTTTGTGCTTTGTGCGTTTGAAAATGTTTTGAAAACGCCTTAGTACGGCGAACTTTGAAATTGTTTTTGAAAAGTAGTTTTTGTGTGTAAGTGCAAAAATAGTTTGAGAAAACTTCTAACAACTATCTACTTTTGTACTCGAAAAGGTTGTTCTTTTCCTCTTTTCCTTTAGACAGTGCTATCCTACTATTAGTGAGTAGGTAGCCTTGTCGTTGGATGTTTCGAGGGACAATTGGAGGGACGTTACAGTCACGAAGGCAACTTGTGGAGACGCTTTAGCAATTTTGTTTAGGGACTAGATCATTTACCGAAAGGCAACTATAGGGTCATCGAGAGACTATGATCTTTTGATTTCACGGGTCTTTGCTAAAGTGTTCCTGCCTTATGACTATTTTATTAAAGGAAACTAAAGTGGGCGTACCTTAGAGGTGTATATGTGCAAGTGTGTTATGTTCAATTATTTTTTTTGTCTTTTTGTTAAGTTTGCTAACGTCTGGTTATTAGTCTTTTCATACATGCCTAGTTACTAGCAGTTAATATGAAAAGCAGTAAAAAATGCAGAAAATAGAGGTCCTACGCTATTAAAACCAAATCGAAAGACAAGTAAAAAGTAAAAATAAAAAAAAGAGAAAAGACTTCTTCGATCCATGCCATGGACTCCTTCGATTCTACCTTCTTTGGCCTTCTTTCGATTGGGCTTGAGAATTGACGTGGACAAGCTTCGATTTGCACCTTCTCCAATTCTTTCGATTGAGCTAGGGAGTGGGCATGAATAGCCTTCAATTGGGCTTGAGAATTGATGGGGCAAGCTTCGATTTGCACCCTTTCCCGCCCTCTTCGATTGGGTTTGGGAAGGATATAGGTACACTTCGATTGCAGGGAGAAAGAGGGGGCTTCGATTCAGAGGAAGAAAGATGCCTTTCGATTCTGTGAAGGGTATTATTTTCTTTGAGCTAATGATAGGATGTAGCCTTCGGTCTAGAGGGGTGTTGCTGGAAAGGCCTGAAGGATCACCTGTGGAAGCATTGCACCTGCAAAAATATGTTAGCAAAATAAAACACAGGACCCGAGTATCGAAACCCAGGTCCTTCGATCCTACGCGCACGAGGTCTTTTCAGGCTATATCTGCAGCAAGTATTAGCAACAAAACAAATGTAGACCTGGGTTTCGAACCCAGGTCCTTAATTTTGATTATAAATCGAATGACTACAAGTAATGATGCATCATGCAGGTACAAAGTTTGATCTTTTACCCTCTCTTACCAATAGTTGGAACCTTCGATTTGACACTTTCTGAATGTGGGTACCTTCGATATGGGACTTCTGGGTGTGGATACTTTTGTTGAAGGGTTGCTTTGGCTTGGATTACGTATGAAAATTTTGAAAACCTTTGGTGGGTTTGTGGGCATCCTATCTCTAATCTCTCTTTTTTTTGGCTTGCAAGCATGCTGCTTATATAGAGTAGGAGGGAAGGGACAAAAGAATTAATGTTTGTAACAGCCATTTGAATCCCATGAATACCAATATGTAACCTTGGCCAAAGTTAAGGGATTTTGTCCATTTTTGAATTTGGAATAAATATGGACATACTGGCCTTCAAATGCTCTCTTTAGAATAGGCTGATGGCCTCCTTCGAATGGCCCTGATTCAGCTCCTTCGAACGGCTCTGATTCATTTCCTTCAAATGGGTCTGATTCAGTTCCTTCGAATGGTTCCGGGTTTTGATTCAAAGTGTTTCAAACTTCCCTCTGCTTTAGTATGCCAATTGAAGGACACTTCGCTCTGATGTTCCAATTGAAGGAAGCTCTGATGCTCTAAATCGAAAGAAGCTCTGATGCTCCAAATCAAAGGAAACTCTGATGCTCCAATCAAAGGAACCTCTGATGCTCCAAATTGGAGGAAGCTCTGATGCTCTAATCAAAGGAACATCTGATGCTCCAATCAAAGGAACCTGTTGCAAGGCCAATCGAAAGGCTTTGCTGAAATGCCAATCGAAGGGCATTTTGGAGATGCCAATCGAAGGGAACTGTTGCAAGGCTAATCGAAAGGCTTTCCTGAAATGACAATTGAAGGGAATTTTCGAGATGCCAATCGAAGGGAACTTAAAAACACTACTCACATATTTCCTTTTTCTTAGGCAAAGGTTCATGACCAACCATGTAGGGGAAGACCTTGGAAAACATGAGAGGCAAAATTTTGGGGTACAACAGTTGCCCCTGTTCAATCTTCTTAAACCTGAAGATATAGATTGGCTTGTCTGCCTTTCGTGATCTGAAAGTGGAAGATGATTGAACACTAGAGTGCCCAAAAATTTGCACTTGTCTGAAGTGATACTGTTGGTGAATAATATCGGGAATGGGCTTACAGATGCCATTCGGAAAAGGTGATAGGAGTCTGTATAGACTTTACCTGAAAAGATAAAGGTTTAGCTGCATGCAATGTCATGATGCATGAAGTGCAAATGATGTCCTTCAAAAAACGAGATTGTGATATATGCATTCGTACTTCGTATGTTATGACATCTATAAAATGATGTATGAATGCAATGTATGAACGTGTCAGTCATTCCATTACTGTATTGTTGAACTAGGGAAAATGAATCCTGATTATTGCTGGAGAGTACCGGGAAGCTGAATCCCGGACTGCTGTTGGTAAGTGAAGAAAGTGGTTCTTCAATTTCTACTGGGGATAATGAATGGAGATAATTTTTTTGGAGATTCCCTTTCTCTGCCGAGGATCTTCTTCTTCTATTTGAGAATGATTTCACCATGGGGAAGAGTTCTATTGGGAGACTTCACCAACCTAGAGAACAAACTCCGCTGGGGGATGAACTTCCGCAGCTAGAAAAATAAACTCTATTGGGGAAAAGGCTTTATAAACTATTTGAGATTTATAAAACTCTGTTGCGGAAGGTGAACTCCATAAACTGCTTTGGGGATTTTGTTTAAAACCCCGTACGGGAATCTTGAGAAGCTTGGCGGCTTCACTGGGGAATTTAGGGCAGTAATTGGAGATTTTTGCTCTACCGGGGATATGAAAACAACTGACATCATCAAGCTGCATGCTGAGAATACGACAGTGACCCTTTTTAGGAGGATGCCCCTGCCTCTGTACCTGCCGGAGAAAGTATCTGATGGGGAAGGTAGTGTAGCGGTGAAAATCGGAGATCAAGCTATTAATTAACTTGACTCACAAAAAGCAAGAGTCGCCACCGCGCTTTATTATTTCCAAGGGAAAAGGGAAAAGAGCGAAATAAAACCCTAAAATATGCAATGTGAAATAATACTTAAAAGTAATAAAAATACAATGCGTTTTTGAAAGAGATTGAGGGTTCGGGGGTTGGTTATACAATGGGAAGGTATTAGCACCCAATGCATCTGCGGTACTCCACAGGAACCTTTTGAAATATCTGTTTTTTGGTTAAAATTGTTTGTTTGATTAAAATGATTCGTTTGGCTAAAAGATGGGTACGGACGAGATTTTTGAAGATACGACGACCTAGTGTCGAAGTTTTGACTTAAAAGGTGTGATTTTGAAATTAGGTTTTGAGGAGATTTAACTTAAGATTTACAAAATTAAAAATGTATGAAGGGGTTCACACAATCGTATTAGATACTCGATGACATGAAGTCAACAAATTAATTCTTTCCCTTGGATTAAATCGAGCGAGCAAAATAAAATAGACATCAAAATATAAGCAATCAAAATTCACAAGGAAAATAAATCTAACAAAACAGGTTAATGACCAAAAGGCACCGAAAAATTAAAATGCCAGAGATATTTAAATAAAAGAGAACGTAACTAATTATCTAAAGAAGCTATTTAAACTGAATTAAAATAATTAAGATCACTTGCTAAGATAATTCTAAACTAACTACAAGTTCTAAGAATATAAAAATAATTCTAAAAAGTACTAAATTGGACCTAAACTAAATTAAATTTTAAAGTTAATAAATTAAATCTAAAATAAATTAAAATCCTAATGTTGCTAAAACAAATAAAAATTTCAAAGTTGCTAAACTAAATCAAATAAAATTCTAAAAAATTACTAAACTAAATCTAAACTAGAGAAGAATTATAAAGTTATTAAAGCTCCAAAATTACTAAATTATATCTAAACTAATTTAAATATAAACTAAATTCATTATAAAATTCCTAATTAAAATCTAAACTATATTAATAATAAAAGGAGGTGAAACATAAACTCAGAATTTTGAGGTGAAAATTGGGATGGGCTCAGGTTACTGGTTGGGTTGAAGCCCAAAATGTTTCAAACAAATAAAAAAAATAAAAAAACTAAGGTGTTGTTGGACCGGAGCGGGTCACAGGATAAGGCCCATTGGATATTGGCACTACCTACATTGTTTCATCATACTGATTCCAAATCTAACCTCTATTTTCATGGATCAAACACAATTAGTGAGAAATTAAAATATGAAAAGCAAACCTGAAAATCTTGAATCAAGTATATATGACTAAAAGAATGCACAATCCGCCGCGTTCTTGCTTCTAGTTGAACGAGAGCCCAGTCAAGCCTCCGGTGATTTTGATGATGAAGAATGTAGCCTTGAATGACGGAAGCTTCTTGAACCTCTTGTGCTAATCTTGTGTTGGCGACGAAGATGAACGGAGTAGTTGTTGATTGCATGTTGGTGAGGTGGAGCGGTGGGTCTCGCGATCTGGCGGATTAATGCAGTGGCTTCTGGAAGTGGACAGTGTGTCCTGGTGTCGTCGGATCCAAGGTGGTTTCCGGTGGTTGGAGCATTCTCCACTTGCTGTTTCAGCGGCTCCTATTAATTGAAACTGAGGTTGATGCGTCAAAGAATCAAATTCTGTTGCAACCCCAATGGTACCAAAGGTCAGCCGGCGGCGATCAGTCTCTGGAATGCGAATATGGTGTGCTATGATCACATTTTGATTCTCGTATACCTTCAATTGAGAAAGTGAATCCTGAAGTTGTGTTGTATCTGATTCCATAACTTTAGACTTTTCGGCTGGAGGTGAAATTGTTTTTTTGGGCGTTCCAATCACTCCAGGACCGTTGTTTGTCTTCTGGCTTGATTTAGGCTTCCACTCTTTATAATGCTGGGAATGGGAGACTCTTTGATGTCCCACAACTTGTTGATGTGGCCTACTGTTATGCTGATTGTTCAAGGATGGTCTGCTAACAGACATGCCAGGGAATAAGGGCTCAGTTACAGCAGGTTGACTAATATGTTCAGTCTTTTGGACAGTGCCAGCGGATTGAAACGAATCTGAAGATGTACCAGTACCATCTTTTCCAACAATAGAATTATTAGCATGAGAACTACTAGGAGGAAACAACTGTTTCCCTTTGTGATCAGAAGACTGTCTTCGAGCACCGACAACCCTAACTTCACGCCTGATTGCTCCCGATGATCTGGAATCGGGGGAGGGCACATGAACTGGATCAGTAGAAGAGGAATATACTCCAACTACAGAACTGCTTGAAGCCGTTGCTGAAGAATTCTGATGGATGTTGTTAGGCTTAATTGGTTGCGGATCTGGAACGAAATCAGAGGAGATCTCCAGCTTGTTGCTATTAGCAGCATTTTTCTGACCATATTCAACCACCTCCTCAGAAGATGCATTAGCTTCTCGTCCATCACCTGGTACTGCAGAATTATTACCCAAAACATCTTCAACTGCGTAATTGTATCCGTATGACCGTTGTCCATGATTAGAATCAAACTGTCTATCCCCTACATCATCTGATACTTTGATTTTGTTGACATCTTGATCAATAGGATTGAACTCCATATTTTTCCTGGACTGCATTTGATTTAGTGTAGAGAAATCATGACGCAAGAAAGTGTTTGGTTTTAAAGACCAGCCAGAATCCTCAATATCTCTAGGAGCTGCTGCTTGGCTAGATTGAGATGCATCAGGTATGCTTTTCATAATATGTTCCTTCACACATGAAGCATTTGCAGTCCCGTCAGCAGCATCATATCATCTGGATAAAGGGAAGCTTTCTGAGCACCAACAAGACTGATCACCCTGTGCACAAACATAGTGTGTTCGTTGAAGAGAGCGACAGTAAGGATGTATTCTGCAGCAACAATGGCAGTTGCATAAGCTCTCATTGAACGATTAATTGTTGATATGATCGTAGCTCCGTCTGGAATTGTTAATGCTGACAGAGATTTGCAGAACTCTGCAGGTTCTGCAACATGCTCAATCACCTCCAAGGCCATGACTGCATCAAATTTTCTTCCTTCTTCAACCAGCTTCTCAGCTGTTGTGCAACAAAATTCAATAGTTGAAGTTGCTGGATCTGATTCAGCATGAAGTCGAGCAATGTTGATATTCTTTTCCACAGCATCAACACCCGTCACAGTAGCTCCCATCCGAGCTAATGGCTCGGAAAGAATTCTTCCTCCACAGCCCACATCAGCAATTTTAAGTCCTTCGAGGGGCTTAGCACTGTAAGGGTCCTTCTTGAAATGTTGACACAATGCAGACCGAATGAAAGCAAGTCTCGTAGGATTCATCACATGTAATGGTTTAAAAGGGCCATCAGAACCCCGCCAGGATTCAGCAATGGCGGCAAACTTGGCGAGTTCATTACAGTTCAAGGAAGAAGGAGGTGAAGGTTGTTGAACGTGTGGAGTGGTTACGGTTGCGGTTTTGAAGAACTTTGTTTTTGCGGACTGTGAAACGAGGGAACCAAAGAGTGCTACTTTCTCTTTCCAGCACATCTAACATCTAGATATGTACATGGTGCTGCCTTGTGATCATGGTATAGTTATTTACATACTAACTGCTTTTCTTTAGAAACCCACACAGGCGAAAAGAAAAATTATCAGAACAAGGATGCTGAAGTTGTTGCAGGATGTCGTTGTGTTATTCTTGTTGGTTAAGAATATCTGAAATATGTTGTAGCTGCGAAACAGTGAAGAGGTGAAGATGTTGATGGCTTGTCTTTTATGCGTAAGGTAGTAATTGATGGCAGAACGGTAGTTGGGTTTTATGCAGAACCAGAAGAGAGATGGCAAGGGTCGTGTCTGAGTGAGTTTCGGATGGTGAAGTGGTTGATGATGGTGGTTGTTCCCTTGGGATTAGGCTGTAGGGTACTTCCCATCTTTGCTTGTTTGCATCTGTTATGTGTACCCTTAAACGGTTATCTGTTTCATGCTTGGCATAGAATCTGAGAAGGGGAATATCAGGGCCATAGATTTTGGTTTTCTTGTTAATTTGAAGGAGTCCAAGAAGGGCACCATCAGAGGTCTCTTGAATGGAGGTAAGACTATAGCCATTGCCAATTTTGGTGACATTAACTGATGAAGAAGTGACCTCAGATGCAAAGAGAACAAGAGTTAGAACAAGAGATGAGAGACAGAGAGATGGTAAAGAGTGAGGAAGAACCATAGCTCACTGAAATGGAGTGTAGAGTGAGAGTGAGCAGGAAATGAGTTACTGTATATAATTTTTTTTGGTTTTTCTTCTGTCCCCCCGTTTTTCTTTTTGCTTCTGTTTTTATAGTGAATGTATCATAGAATTAGAGGGAAAAATTGGAGCCAAATATCAGTTGAATTCTAGTTTATGTCAATTGCCTTATGCCTTCTTGATGCAGGAAAAATTTAACCATTCTGGGTAATGTTTGGAGCAGTTTGTTCTGGACAGCAAGCAAACTACAGTTTGGGGCATTATTTTTGGACTGATGTGCAGCAGTAAAATTATCATTGAAAGGTCCCTTTTCTACTTTGCATTTTTCTGACTTTTCCATGTAACCATACATGTATTTTCCCTCACTTTTTCTCTCAAAATATTGGACTGATTTTGTTTTCATATATTTGTTGTTTTGGTGGACAGGTTTGGATGAAAATTGAAGCAAGGTTTAGACTTGGTATTTGTTTGGACATTTTTTACAAGGAGAGGAATAGCATAATAATAATAATAACAATAATAATAACAAAAAAAAAATATTAAACTAAAAATTTCCAAAACATGAAAATTAAAGAGAAATTTAAATTAATTTTAATTTTAATAATAACTCAACTAAAAAGTTGAATTAAAATTAGAACCAAATCAAGATTAATATTGAAAGAAAGAAAAATGAAAAATTATAATAACTAAAAGAATTAAAAGGAAAAGATATTAACTATATATTTTTTGTGATTAAAGTGAAATGCTAAAAATAAAATAATGCTAAGACATGTTTTTTTTTGTTGAGATTTTTACTAAATTAAATCTAGAAGACTATAATTTTGACTTAAGAATAAAAATCTAAATGAAACTTGAAGAGACTACCTTTTTTTGATATTTTAAATAATAATGTAAAGAAAATTAAGATGACATGAACTAAATATTTTTTTAGGATTTTTTTCATGGAATTAAAAATAAAAGAAGAGAAAGTGTAAAATTTATGGTCGGATAAAACATAGTCCAAAATTAAGAATCAAATTCCATTAAATTCGTGAAACAACTTCAAACGTTAATAACTTTTTCGTGGCTTTTCAATGCATAATCATCTCTTGTCTTGTAAAGAAAAATTGTAGATGGTGTCAAGAAAAATCATATGCAAAAAATAACCCCTCAAAATATTGAAATTTGAAGAAGTTATGAATTTTTGAAATCTGACTCGGGAATTGGCAAAAATAGGTCGAATTGCTTGTGAACTCTTGCCATGCAATGATGCGGATGGAATGCGGGATCTTAGGTCAAAAATTAGGGTATGACAGGTAGCTGTTGGGATTTTCTAGACAGTTTTGACTGTTATCCCAACATCTGAAGTCCTTGGTGTATGTTGATCAGGGAGTGTTCTACTGATAGACCAATGACAAAATGACGGGACATATTCATACATTTTAATCCCTAACTTTTTCCTGGACTTTCCTTTTAGGTTTTCAGTCCACCGGGATACCCTTTTTTGCCCAAGCCGCCTTTTCAGGTTTTCGACTTGCCGGGTGTACATATTTTTTATGTATATCCCTAATTTTTGCCCGAACCTTTTTTTTTGGTTTTCCGGGATGCCCTTTTTAGCCTAGGCCAGTCAACCTAGCAGGTCTTTGTTCATGCGTAGTATTTTATGACTATGTTTATGTTCACCGGGTATAGAGAATTGTCACTGTCCATAGTAGTAAGTGTTGCCACACTGCCAGAAGATGTTTGTTTGATCGTACATGATTCATTGCTGGAATTCATGTCCAATTCCCCAAGTGATTCAGATGGATATCTGCCCCTGGCTATTTGGCATTTTTGGGAGATTCCTTGAACCTTGACTTAACTGCCCCAGGTCAGCTGGACACCATGTCATGCCCCTTGATTATGAAAGGCATATCACTGGAATGTCTTTCCATCTGAGGTGATTATGCTCATTGAGAGGATTTCTGTTTATTGAATATTCGTCTGCGGATTTCTCTGCTGTTGAACAAATAGTCATATGCAAACAATGGTATTTTAAGAATGCAAAGCTTACATCTGTCTTGAAAATTTTTAATTTTTTTTAAAATGCATTTTTTGTAGTAAAATAGAATGTGATATCAACTCAAGATTTATAGCAAGTCCTACAGGATTCAGAATACCTTTTGTAACAGTATGCTTCCGAACTAACCCATGCTTTAGTTATGACTTTTAAGGGTTAGAGCGTGGCCTGGTTCACGGTTTAAGAAACAAAGGATAAAGGCTCAAAGTTTATTTGTACCGACCCATTCTTCGTGATGTTCTTCAGTCTTATACTCAGTTAATTATGCATTTAAAATCCCAGTTCAATTTGGCATCTTGTCCTTGATATTCTGGTGATGGTTAGAAAATTGAATGTTTGTTTAAGAAGGCAGTCATTTTTGTGACCTTTTATTTTGTTGAGGATTTGTAGGACCTCTTCCTTTTGATTTTGCTATCCCTGTCCTTTGCCTGAACTGTTTCTTTTGTGATTACAGCCAGCGGGATGCCTCAATTTTTCCCCTTAAGTCTCCTTCATAGGTTTTGACTTAGAGGGCTTTTATTTTGAGAGATAATGACTGGCTGTTATTAATGATTATTTGGAACCATCACCATCTTTTGGAGAGCATCTTATACACCATTTGTCGTGTATGAAGAGAAAGCTTGCGACTAAATGCACATCTGAATTAACTGAGAAAACTACCCTTCCCCAGGTTATGATTAATGGTTTTAATTTGTGTGAAAAGAAAACTCCTACTTCTTAGGCTCAAAGGGGTTGACTAGGGATTATCTTCCTTATAACTCCACTTTTTAGGATTCAAAACAACGCATGTACATCGTCAGCAAGGTCTGTTCAAAAGCATACTGTAGAGATTATGGTATCGTTCTCGTCATCCTCCCTCTAAAGGCTTAGAGCTTTTAATCAAGAGTTGAATATCACAAAATGGAAGCAATAAAACAATTTAAATAAAATGACAATGAAATCATTCAAGACAAACATATGCGACGCATTAATGGGAAAACCAAAGTGTAGCATAACAGTAATTGTTTGAACAATAAATGAAAGTACAAATGAAAAATAAAAAATGAATTGGACATTCTCAATGATTTGGCCTGGGAGCAGTGATCACTTTGTGAGTTTCCGAAGGGTCGAATTCAATCTCTTTGGCGTCAATCATATCCTGAATTTTGTTCTTCAGAGCCCAACAATCATTAGTATCGTGTCCAGGACTATCAAAATGGTATGCACACCTTTCGTCGGGGTGGTAACTAGGAGCGGAAGTATCAGGATTTTGCAAAGGAGCCCTTAACATAATCAACTCTGCCTTTAACATGTGTTGTAACGCTTGAGCTAGTGACATGTTGATTTTGGTGATTTGTCTCTTGGGCTTGACCTCTTTACGCTGATTCTCCTGTTGGTGTTGGCGAAGTTGTGGTTGGGCTTGCAACATAGCAGCAATTTGGAAAACTCCAACTTTCTGTCCCATCAGGGATTGATGAATGACTTGATCCCCAGCCTCGACTGTTTGCTTCATACAGTTGTATCCGTCTTGATGAATTTTGTTGATAATGGCTCTCAGCTCTTCTTGTCCCTGGGATAGGCCTTGGATAAGATCCATCTGCCCCAACATCTGGGTTCTCATTGCTTCTACCTCAGATTGTGGTTGTTCCAACCGTTTGTCTTTATTGTCTTCACGACTTTTCTTAATCATATTCCCAGCGAGGAGTGCTTTCAATTCTTACTGCCCCTTGTATAGGTTTAGGATTATTTCCATGAACTGAGCCTCTTGAGTTTGGAGATCTCTGTTGTCTTATTTGAGAGCCATTGCTGAAATAAACAGCGAGAACATGAGAGACCTGTACTGGAGCCTACTTGTTATGCAATGACATGTATGATATGCAAATGTTTTCAAGGATCTCGCGGGGTAAACAAGAAAGATGTTAGGAGTTGAACTTTACAGCTTTGATTGAACCATTTAGTATCATTGAAGGTCCTTCTACAAGAGTCAAGCTCACCATATCAAGTGTGTCATAGAACCTGACTCAAGTTGTCGTGTTTTGGTCTTTTGACGACATTGTATAGAGGAAAATAAATCCCCTTGCCCCTTTCTAGACGTCTGATTTATCACAACCTGTATCACAAACCCTTGAGATCCTTGAAATGGTTAAGGAAATGCTGTGGCATGATGTTATGATATGTATGCTATGCGTTAAGCAAAAGTGTAAGGTGATGAAGACAAGTGAGTCTAAGAAGTCCAGGTTACTAGATAATAACTGTGTGATACGATGGCAGAACCGACTGTTATACTGGTTTTGC